CGTATGGGTTTGTGGGGTGGGTGGGTGGGTGGGTGGGTGGGTGAGCACGCTTGTGCGCAGGTGAGTCAATGGCATGCCAACGCTCTGCCATGCACCTGAGCGCTCAAGCTCACCCAGCTCGCGCGGCGAGCAGGCATGCGCCCACTAGACTCCCCCCCTTGGTGCCATGCGTACGCCCTTGAGCTCAACGCGGCCCCCGGCATCCATGACCCTCAGCGATGCCTCCGACCCTGCCGTCGACCCTAGTGCAAACCCCATCTGCGAGCGCCGCACGTCAAACACCACCTGCCACGAGCGTGTCCAGCCGCCAGTTCGACTGCCGCCTGTTGCATTTTTTTCCGCCACCCCGCGCCCTACTTCTGATGAGCTCCCCGACCCACCACTGTTCAGGGTGTATGTCATCGACGAAGACGAGAAGCCAGTCGGCTGCGCCACCTGCACGGACGTGCTGCGCGCGGTCCTCGCGGCCAGCGAGGGCGACAGCTAGCCAGGCCTGCCGGGGGGCCCCTTCCGCCGGCCGGCAGCTGCAGCAGCGGTGGGGCAGCGTAGCAGCCACATGGGCGCGGGCGTTGCCGCGATTGTGCAGCATCCGGACGGTGGGAGGGGCGGCTCCGGCGGTGTTTGGCCACAGGTGTTGCCAGAGGCCGTGGCCGTGTGCCAGGGGGCTGCGGCGGCTGCCAGGCTCGTGCAAAGGGCCAGCCGCGCGCGACGAGCAGGGTTCGCCATGACGGCGGGGGGAGGCGGGTCGGCGGCAGGACAGACAGCCATGAGAGCAAGACGGCGCACAGGCACGCCTGCGGGTGCGGTTTGGTGTGGGCATGGCAGGTTGGCGCGCCAGGCAGGCGCCAGCGGCGGGCCGCTCGAGCTGCGGCAGCCAGCGCCGCGGGCGCCGCGGCTGGGCTGCAATTTGTGACCTTCACTGTTGCACTGAGTTGTGCATCGCTTTGTTCATGGGTGGCGCTGCGTGTGCGTCTCGGGCCGTGGGGTCTGCACACCTCTTTGTCTCTTTATGAGGGGCGCTGGCAGCCGCTTGAGCGCGGGCACTGCTCCGCCCCTTATACCAAGGCGCGGCCCGCCCGCCAGTTGAGCCTGATGCCCGTCTGAGCTGGGGCGCGACTGCGCCGTCGCCGCTCGCGCTACCCAGCGTGGCTGTGCATTCACCAAAGTCTCGCTGCACTTGCCCGGCCGGCAGCGCCGCCCACGCACCTTGATAATTGGGCGCATCGGAGCACGGCCGTGCGCGCCACGTGATGTATGGCTGGGTACCTGCGCCCGCTGCCTGAGGCAGAGGGTCGCCCGTCACCGGGGCCGCCTGCGTTGAAAGTTACGCCCTCTTTTGTTGCCAAAGCTCGGGTGCATCCATGCACCTCCCCACCCCCTGGAGTGTCGTGACTCACGCTTTAGTGTGTGGGGCCCACCCCTGAAGCTGCACACCTGTATCGAGCCGCGCCGCCCCGGCAGGCTCCTGGCGGCTGGGCGAGCGGGCGCCCGCGGTGGCCGGCGTACCTGCATACTCGGGCGTGCGTCCCCGCGATACCAGTTGATATGATAGCAATTTATCATGTTAGGGCTGAGGGGGAGCCGCCAGAGAAGCATGCGTGACCAGCGCCTGCCGTCCCCTGCCCAGCCGCCATGTGGCTGCGACGCGCGCAGCGCCTGCGCACCCCCCGATGCATGCTGGGGCGCCTGCGGCGTTTCGCAGGCTTTGCTGCTGTAATGCCGCGCCGGCCGGTCCCATGGACACGCGTTTGCTGGGGCTCCGTCCCGATCTCAAGCGTCCTCATCGTAGTGCCTGGAGGCTCCTGCGTCTGCACCGCCCAGGGCAGCAGCCGAGAGTGCGCTCTTGAGGGCTGGCTGGCGGCGACGTGCGCGTGTCCGTCACACATCTTGAGGTTTGGATCTCGCCGCAGCACGCACTCCTCGGCAGTAGCATCGACTTGGGTGGCGACGCATGCTTTAGCGTGCAGCGGCGACGCAGGCCGTGTAATGCAAAACCCCTTGCAGGCTGTGGGCAAGGTGCAGGAACTTCAGCTATCTGGGAAATCAACGGACAGCACCTGCAACCTTGTCACTGTTGCGTGCTCATCCCCCAGGTGTTCTGCGGCATCCAGGGATGTACGCGGCAGCTTTGGCACTGGACACCCTATTGGAAGTGAAGGCCTCAAAGCCGCACGCGGCAGCGGCGACAGCGCCTGCGATAAACGCCGCGGTATGTGGCGCGGCGGCAACAGAGGTATTCTTGGCAGCACAACGGAACAATAGAGGACCCTGTGAGCGGCAGCAGGAGCAGGAGCAGCAGACTCTGCAGCACCACATTTTTGAAGTTGGCCTGCCCGTTGAGGTCTGCAGCGACGCGGTCAACCCCTAATTTTTTGACCCCCTTGACCCGGCTGTCGACACCACACTTGACATCCACACATACAGGCACGCCTGCTGCACGTGTGCATTTGCTTGCGTGCTGCTGAGTACCACAGACTGCAAAATATGCACACCAGACTGCACGCCTTTTTTGCATTGACCATTGAGCATGGGCGTGTGAACATGGTGTGTGCGGAGTAGTGGCCCACGTGAACAATCTGCACACATTTGTACACGACAAAACCTTCACATCCTATGACAGACTGGCAGATCAAAGCAGACGTTTACATTCCATGGCAAGTTGGACTGGGTGCTACTGAATAGCCTCATGCCCGCAGACTGGTACATGACATTTTTAAGCTGGGCTGCATTTGATCACTGTGCACTGCTTGAACAAGTTTGCTGCACAACTTGACAATCGTGTTGCAACAAGGTTACGTATTTTGTCCCAAGTGTTACAGGATGACATTGCAGCTGAGTACATTAACAGCCGCAATGAACCACATGTACAGCCCAGACCACTCTCAGAATTGTGAGCAGCAGGTCAGGAGCATAAGTACAAAAGCAGGATACAGCACATATTCAGGGCATCGAAATTCGGGCGGGGATGCATTGGCTGGAGGGTGGTGTGGAGCAATCAGCCCAGCAGGGGCAGGCTGCTGGTCACGCCAGAGACGGTGCCGAGGAGGCCAGTGGCAGTGCCAGCCGCGGCGCCGGCAACACCGTTCACAGTGTTCAGGAGGCCGCCGACAGTGCCGAGGGCAGTGCCCGCCGAGCCGAGGACGGTGCCGACAACGGGGGTGGCGACGGGGCCGACAACGGGGAGGCCGTTCACGGTGCCCACAACAGAGGTGAGGACGGGGGCGACCGTGGAGGTGGCAGTCCCGAGGAGGCCGTTCACGGTGCTTCCGACGGTGCCGACGACGGGGCTGGCCACGGGGCCAACGACGGGTACGGCGCCGACGGTGGTGCCGACGGTGCCCAGCAGGTTGTTCACGGCGCCGGTGACGGCGCTCAGCTGCTTCAGGTCGCGGGTCGCCAGGGCGGGCGCCGCCAGGAGGAACACGGCCAGGGCGGCCACAGAGAGCATGCGAGCCATGGTGAAGGGTGGGGCTGTCGAGCCTGTGGGGTTGGGGGGGACAGTGATGGGGGCCAGTGGGGGACTGCGGGACGGGCTTGAGGGTTGGCTGAGGGGAGGGGGATCCGAGACAGGCAGCCCGTTGCTCTGGCCTGATTCATAGCGTCGACAGAAACATTTTAATGACTTGTATTGCTGCTCAAGAGCCTCAGAAGGGACGCACACACCTGGTTACGGTACCGTATCAGAGCTGGCCACGTGCAAGATGAGGGCGGAGTGGGCGGAATGATGGTGGATGGGCGAAACGCACAATTTATACCGTTCTTGTGTTGAATGCTCATTCAACTTCTCGCAAACCAGATTCTGACTAAATCCGCATGACATACGGTACCGACGCGTGGCCCGCTTTGTCATCACTGCATGGGGTGCGCGTGCCCGGGCAGCACGGCCCTAGGATATGGAGGGCAACGCACTGTTTTCGCTTTTATGCTTCACTTCAAGAGAAAGTGTGTGGCTCCAATCAACATGTAGCGGCCGTGGCCAAGGCCTTGGCAAGCAAGGCCGTTAGTCATGGCAAGAAAAAGTCCAGAGAGCGATGACCCCCAAGTTTGAGCCTGCCGGAGATCAAGGCGACTGTGGAATGCAAGAGTGTGCCGTGACAATGACTATTGGTACCACACATCCACACGAGTCCGCAGTGAGCATCAAGCACAGCCCGCTGGACCCAGGCCGACGCGTGCGTCACGTGCCTTGGACTGTGATGATGCAAGAGCTCTCCGACTGTGGGGTGCTGTTGCTGAAGCCAGTGCAGCAGCCATAGCGGCCTTCATTTGCGCCAGAACTTCCACCTGGCACGTTTGGCTGCGCCCCACCTGCGCCATTACCAAGCGGCCCACCGGCCAAGGTCCGCACAGGCCCTCAACCCTGAGTGCCCTGCGCAAGCCCGATGGCCTGGTAGAAGCACGCCAAGACCGGTCCGTCGGCAAGCCTACACGGGCCTCTGCAGGAAAAAGCTAGCAGGAGAACTGATAAAAATAGCAGCCAGCACACCTAACTGTGTGCCTGTTGCTGACCTGGTGCTGCGACTGGTGGCCGCCCTTGCTTGGTCAACCCGAATGTGACACCATGCCCTCAGCATGTGCAGTGCGTAACCGCTCACGTAAGCCCATGCAGGCCCGCGACAGCAGCAGCAGCGACAGCAGCAGCATCGCCAGCAGCAGCAGCGACAGCAGCAGCAGCAAGAGCAGGAAGTGTACCCACCACCCCGCACACGTTTTTGCACGCAGGCATGGAGGTCGAGAACTGGTAGCATGGCGTGGAGATTGTGAGGGGCGGTTTGAGTTGCACCCGCCGAGCCAGGGGCCACACATGCGTTCAGAAGACTTTGGTGAATTTCGGATCTGCTACTGCACAAAAGCCTCGTCTGGCAGTTCTCTCTTGTCCGGTAGAGTAAGGAATTGCAAGGTGTTTCCTCTGCTTAGCACATGCTGATGCATTTGGATCGCCCAGCTAGCAGACTGGGGTCACACATCCCGCAATGCGCGCGTGTGTGTGTGTGGGGGGGCTGGCCCAGGTCCTGCTGCTCAGCATCAGGGGGGGCTCAAGGTGAGCAGTCGCATGCAAACGGTGGTGCCCGTTGCTCGCTGCTCGAGACCGACGAATCGTAATAGACGGGATGCATCAGCAGACATTGGCCTTTGCAGCATGGGCATGTTCGGAGCGACGAGTTGGGGCCTACAACAGTGCGGGTACCACACCTCGCCCTTACACTTCTCAATATGATTGGTGCCACTGGGGTTTAGGGACGAGGCATGTCATTATGCTGCTTTACTGGCCAACAACTATCTTCTCAGGCACAGCAACATCGCTGCAACAGGGCTGTTGCTGTGCTCCTTGCGCTGCTGCAGCTCCTTCACTGCTTCTAATTCTGCTGGTGCTGCTGCTGCAGCCGTTGCAGCTGTTGCGTCTGGTGTGGCTGCTGCAGCTGCTGCGGTTGCCAGGAACGTCTGAAGTATCATCTTAGAGGGCAAGGCATTTGCAGGTCAGCACGGCAGCAGTTTCGAGGAGACCCAGGCTTCCGACGCGCTGTGACATATGCGTGGATGCTCTTTCACCTGGCACGCGCGTGCACACACACACACACACTCACTCATACACACGCACACGCATGTGTGTGCGCATGCAGGACGCGTGCGTGGGGGGGGGGGGGCAGTGCGCAGATGCGGAAAGCATGACTGCTACACCGCGGCATGCCGTCGGCTTTTGATGGTTGCGTTGCGCGCCAGGTGCGCACAAGCTGGCCGGCCATGCGCTGTCGCGCATGGATGAAATGCAAGGGGGTGCTCCACGCCGGCCCACCGAGCGGCGGGCAGGCAAGCGGCGGCGTGACGCCCTCTCGAGCGCGTGCGCTCGGTTGTGCGCACGCATGTTTGTTCGTTTCCTGCAGCAAGCCGATCCCATGAGGTGGGCGCCGGCTAGCTGCTGCAAAGGCCGGGCGCAGCGGCTGGGCGTTCAGAGGCACAAAGTGAAGTGCACGTCAGCCCCGATCCAAGCGCACACACACACGTCAGCGGCTGACCCCTGCATGCGTCACCCCGCCTGTGACCTGCTTGCCACCTACGACCGCCGACCCAGCCGGTCCGCGGCACACGCGCACGGTGTGCAGCCCGCACAAGGCCCCCAATGCCCAGGGGCGCTAGCCGGGCGCGACACTCTGCTGGCAGTACAAGGGGCGCTCCAATGCCCCGCGGATCCAGCACAGGGGCCAATGTTTAGAGCCGCGCGAGCTGTCACTTGAAGCAGTTGCCGGTCGAGCTGCTGATTTGTCAGGATACACGGCTCGCTTTGCCCCGCCGCACGCGCACAAGTGGCGGGCGACGGGGAGACCGCGGCCGTGCGTCCAAGGTGGCGCACGGCGGCGGCGGGGTGGCGGCGGCCGGCCGGTTGAAAGTGTGGCCGGGTGCGGCGTCGGGATGGGAGCGCCGCGCCCGGCAATTCGACCGGGCGCCGCCGCAAGGATGATGGGCGTCGGTCGCCCCTCTCCGCGGCCCGCGTCCGAAAATGTAAGGGATGGGGCGATGTTCTGGGAGGCAATTAGCCATACACTGGTGTGACATCATCGTGACGTCTCCTGGTGGCGAAACCGAGCTCAACCTAGTGGCCGGTGCCCAAGTGGACCAGGCGGCCATAGATAGGCGGGTGGGCCCGTATAAAGAGCAGTCCAGACTGTGGCTTGGAGCGCGGCGCATGCGCAACCCCAGGACCGCAGTGGCGCTGTGCGCCCGCAAGCAGTGCCAGTTCCGCGCGGCGCGCCCGCTTCGGCGCGCACCGCCGCGGCGCGGGCGCTCAGCGGCGCCTGGGCGATGCCTATCAGATGGCCCAGGCGCATTCGTGGCGCTGCAGCCTCTTGACGGCACCATTCACGATCAATCAAATGGGACTTCCCCGGGCAGGGTTGGGCGAGGTTGCGGGGTTCTAGAAACTGTAGAGAGTCGACTGAGGAACCGCCCAAAGGTGGGTGGCCAGGCGCCCCGCCGCGGCTCTAGCCGCCCGCTGACACCCTTAGGCTCGGCCCCACGCCGCCCCCGCCGCCGCCGCTGCCCAACCGCGCGGTGAGCGCGTCAGTTTCGGAATCTGGCAGCAGCGAGGCGTACCGCTTGCTGCCGTCCCGCAGCCGCGCCGCGCAGCAGCGCAGCGGCAGGCCGTCCCACGGGAGCGGCGGCGGCGAACGCGGCGCGGCGGCGGCGGCGGCGGCGGCGGCGGCGTGGGTGGCTGGGCTGGGGGCCGTGAGGAACGGGACTCTGGAATCTGAGCAGGCGGCGCGCCAGGCGGGGATGACTAATTGGTCAAACACGGCCCGGGCGCGCTGCGGGGGGCGAGAGGGTGGGTAGGGGGGAAGTTTCAAAC